GTTTATTGAGTATATTTTCCAAAGGCTTATGATCATTCTGTATTATTATTGTTCTGCCGTACGTGTACTGGTCACATTTTTTCTAGAGCTACTACTACAGCCAAGAGTTGCTTTTCGATTTGAGCCCACTTTTTCTGAGGCTCTGTGAGTGACCTTGATATGTATGCTATGGGTTTGTCATCTTGTAGTAGTACAGCTCTTAGGCCATTTTGACAGCTGTCCACCTGAATAGTTACTTTCTTCTCCGGGTCGAAATAACTTAGGTAGGGTTCCATGATTGGATATCTTCTGTTTGACACTATTATATGCTCTCTCACAGTCATTTGACCACTCGAATAGCTTGTGTTTCTTAGTCAGTTCTGTTATTGGCTGTAGGTCTGCTGGAAGACCTAGGATGAATCTTGACAGATATGGTATCATTCCACAAAATCTCCGAACCGATGTAAAGTCTTCAGTGGTTTTTAGATTTGTTATGGCTCTTACCTTGTTTGGGTCTGGTTTTATTCTTGACTCGGAAATAATGTGCCCCAAAAACATAATTTCTGATTTTCGGAATACTGATTTCTTTTCATTTAGTCTGATGGTCTTTTCCTTTAGCCTGTTGAGTAATTTTGATAGGTTTTCCTCATGATTTCTGTGAGCCTCTTCTACTGTGTCCCCCTTGCCAATTGCCATTATATCATCCACCACGTTAAAGCATCCTGTTAGTCCCTCCAACGCATCATTCAAATGTCTTTGAAAAACATCCGAGCTTGCTTTGAGACCAAAAGGAATCCTATTCCATTTGTACTATCCGAATGGAGTCGCCATTGCAGTGAGACCTGATGAGTCCGGGTCTAGTTTGATATGCCAAAAAGCTTCCTGAATGTCGACTTTGCTAAATATCTTGGCGTTACCCATTTCAGCCAAAATGTCATCTAGTGTTGTTAGGTTGTAATGCTCCCTCAGTAGTGCCTTGATTCTGATACTGCCATCTGATTTGTCTACCAATGCCATTTGGCTAACCCACTCTGAAGGCTCAGTAATTCTTTCTAGAATTTTTCGTTGAACTAATGAGTTTAGTTCGGCTCTGACTTTCTCTTTTAATGCTATCGGAATTCTTCTACATGGTAGGACTTTGGGCTTCACTGTTTTGTCTATTTTCAATGTAGCCATGCCCAAGTCACCGAGTGCGTCATGGTTTTGATGTTTGATCACACCGCTGCCACCATGTTACACTAGATACTTGAATATAAACAAACTTAAAATAAGAACACTTTTGGATCATGATAAACTACTTTAATCAGCCATCTTGGCTACCAGAGTAGTGTCCCCTATACCTGGGCACAACTCTTCCTACTATATACAGTATTCCTAAAATGGGGGAGGTAATATACAATATTATGTGAGTTCTGTTCGCCGCATGCGTGACCTTTCTAATTTAATAAGCGCGCGACATCAAGCTATTGGGCTAAGTCGCAGCTAAAGCTAAATGTATGTAAAAATGCTTTACAAAACAAATTTGAAGGTTATTTTGATTAAAATATCAAATGAATGGACTATATTTAATCTGTACATATGTTAAACTATAAAAATATCTTTGCGAAGAGTACATCAATTATTATACTAAAATCTTAGACTTGAATTTGAATCTAGGGTTTGAGAGATTTTAGGTAACCTTTCGGTCGAGCGAGAAATGGGATATAAAGTACGTCATGAATCTAAATTTGCAGGCATAAGGAACAAATTTTTGTAAAAAAGTTTTGATATACAAAATTTGATGGTTAATTTTATTAAATTACGAAATGAATGGACTACATTATGTATTTTCATGAGTCAGAGTAAAAAACTATCTTTACAAAGTATAGTTCTTAAAATTAGATCTAGATCCTTTCGATCTTGTTTCATGTAAACATGGCTTATATGAACTAGATCCATGAAACAGTAAAACTTTCATAGAGTTCGGCAACTTTTTTTTAGGTTCTTACGTTTGTTTTAGGGCTATTATACATACGTCACGGCTCCAGTTATTACCCAAGTAACACATATACCAAGTTTTATCAAGATTTGTCAAACGGTTTTGATTTCTATTTGGACATACATACATTCACCTTACACACGTACATACATATGCCTTACTTTTTGCTTCATATTATACTAGTCATATGTTACCCGCGGCCCGAGGGTCTTAATTTGCGTATCACTTTCGATATAGTCACGGTGAGTGCTTTATAAACAATTAAACGAAATAATAAAGTTAGAAGTAAACGAATGCGGAATGCGTGAATGTAAAAATAATATGAATGGAGCTATCAAAATAGCTAATCGACTTCAATCCATTTTTTCAAATAAAAACATTTGGTTGCAGGCCTACATATATTTGATTAAAATTTGAAATGAATAGACTTAATTTTGTATGCTATAAAGTAGATCTATCATCTTTGAATTAGATCTAGATCTTGAGTTAGAGATAGATCTAGATCTAGACTAACGTAGATTTTAATATGGCTTGAATAGAGTTCGTCTCTGCGCGTGCGTGACCTGTTTTATTAGATTTACGCGACTCAGGACTGGAACTATTAAAATGATTGTCAACATGGTTTCGCAGCTATAGCGAACGAATGTATGAAAAATGCTTTAGAAAATCAATGTTAATTTGATTAAAATATGAAATGAATGGACTATAATTAGTATGTTCATGTGTTAAAGTATAAAACTTTCTTTGCGAAGAGAAGTTCTATCATCTTAGAGTTGAATTAGAGTTTTAGAACTTGGAATAGAGAGATGTGTAACATTTCGGGTATTGTCTAATGAAAGAAAGTACGTCAGGAATACTAAATTAGCAGATATAAGGAACGAATTTATGTAAAAATGCTTTTGAAACACACATTTTGAATGTTAATTTTATTAAATAATGAAATGAAAAGACTATATTTTGTATTTTCATGTGTCAAAGTAAAAAACTCCCTGTGCAAAGTGTAGTTTCAAAAATTAGATCTAGATTCTTTCGATTTATACATGGTAAACATGGCCTAGATCGATGAAATTATAATACTTTCATAGAGTTGGTCAACTTTTTTTTTGAGGGTCTTAAGTTTGTTTTATGGCTACAATACATACATTACGGTTCCAGTTAGTACCCAAGGAACATTTATGCCAGGTTTTATCAAGATTGGTCAAACGGTTTTGATTTCCATTCGTAACATACATACATACATACATACATACATACATACATACATACATACATACATACATACGCCTTACTTTCTACTTTATAGTATAGATATCAGCCATGAGAAATAAAAAAGAAAGATGCCCTGTCAGCTAGCCTAGGACAGATGCATATACATTGCCTAAATTGTGCCGATGTCCCAAAAACTCAAAACCCAAACCCACAATAGGCTTGATCAGTCACTCCAGATTTTGCCCCATCTCAAGACGAAATTAAAGCTAGCAACTCATCTGGGCGCATCTATTGTCTTCCGAGACGGAAGGAGCCATTTATATATATATATATTATTTGGCTTTTCAGTTCGTTATCTCTTTTTGAATGACTCTGTTTGATAGTATTTGGCGGGGCTCACATTTCAACGCTCGCCCCTTATTGCCCGTCAAATGTAGTATCTGTTACTTTGAATCGGAAAGTCAGTTTTAAAACCCCGTCGCAAACACACATCTGTCTTGTAAATTCTAGTATCTTTTTTATCTCCCCCTCCCCACATGGCCATTGTTCCAATCCATTTCTTCTTCCCCCAATCACTAGGTGTCCTCTGCTATATACTTGAAAGCGGCTTAGTAACAGGTCATCTGCTGCCCATAGGTGGAAGCCCTCATCGTTTCATCACTAGAATGACTTGGAAACTGTAATTTTTTACCATTCTCCATACTGTGCTTTTGACGGACAATTTTTTATGTTTACATAGCAATTTACGCGCATAGGAGTTACAGACCAACCATGACATAAAAAGTAAAAAAAATTAAAAAATCCTGCTTTTTAAAGGTGACCAACCTTTGATAAAGTGATTAATTACTGTTAATAACTAATGAATGTTATATTTAAATTCAACTAGAAACCATTGACAAGTTGATGACTGATATTGCACTCTTCGTTTTACTCGCTCAATCAATGATATTTTATACATTAAAAATATTTAAAAATGTCCAAATAACAATTTTAGATTCTGTATATATATATATATATATATTCTATATCCATTATATATATATATATATTCTATATCCATTAGAACAAAAATATCGAAGTTCTCTCATATAAAATGACCCTATCTTATTACAGATTTGATAGTCTGAATCTTGATTTCTTGGACATTGAAAAAGGTTACATGGACATATTAACCTTGTACAATTATGAATTGGATAATTTACAACACGTGAGTAATCAATTCTATTCTGTGTAGGGCCTACTTAGATTCCATCATTTGTATCAGTATTTGAGAATGTTGCTATTGAAATATTTGATCAAAATCTACCATGTAAAAATCTTGTCATTTCAGATTTACGAACGAGACAAAGAAGAGCCACCAATTCAATGGAATTTGCCTCCAATATCTGGACGAATTTACTGGTTGCGTCTAATGTTTCATAACATAGGCCAGCCAATTTTTACATTACAGGTTTAATGTTGCATTTATTTTAAGGGTTTGGAATAATTGGTGACCGGTCACTTCATCCCCGGTCATTTCGTGATGAAGTGACCAGGGGATGAAATGACCGGAGATGAAGTGACCGAGCATGAAATGACCGGGAACCGGAATAATTAATCGGTGTACACAATTGTGAAAATAGAAATATTGTATATCTAGTCAAATTACTTTCTCTCCAAACCTAGACATTGACAATAGAGAAATATTGGCATTTAAAGCAATGGATCATTACTGAAGCTTAAACATTGACATGATATAATTATTAATATTTTATTAATATGTGAGTTGATTGAGTTTGGTACCAATCAAGTGTAGATGTAGAAATATATTTAAAAATAAAATATAGATAAATAAACCTGAACTTAGAGAGTGGTCTAGTGGTTAGGATATCGCGCTCTCACCGCGGAGGCCGGGGTTTGATTCCCCGCTTGGGAACCAAATTGTTGTAACTCTCTAAGGCAGGCACTCAACGAAAGACAGGTTGAGAAGAGTAAACGATGTATTTATTTATGATAAGCATCGACAAATGGTACGGGTAATAGTAACTAGTTAGACTTGGACTTCTGCTATAAAGTCACAGGGAGTAATATGTCTAAGTTCTAAGAGTCCTACTTATTTATACGAGAACACAGAACAGACCACCGACACACTTCCCAGTGTCGCTCCAGGTCTCCCAAACAGTTTCCTAGTATCACACAGGACAGCACTCAGCACCAGACTGTTCAATATTAACCAAAAAGAGACCTACACTAACAATTCAAGTAGACAAATGAAGTTATTTTTTTGAGGCGTAATCGTCATACATCACGTGAATGTAGCACTACATCAAAAGGGTTCTTGGAAAAGAAGTTTCAAAACAATTTCATTTAGTTTTTGTAACTTTTCGGTCATGTGGCCCGCGAGACGAGTGTTGGAAATTAAAATGGCCCGCAGCTTGAATTAGGTTGGGCATCACTGGTCTAGGGGATAGCTAGGTAGAAGGTACAGATGAAAATATTTAGACTTAGAAATTGTTGGATTTATTGAATTAGTATAATGATACACTGACAGGATTGATAGCTAATTTCATTGCTAAATAGTTGACTATAGCCCATGATAGGACTTCATGAAAAAACTAATGCTATTTCAAACTTTTCAAAATAGAATTATCGACCATCTGTTATGAAAACTCTGGAAGGAAAACGAGCAATTTATCGCTACAACAAATTTGCTTTTGTTTTAGCAAAGTGTGAGGTTCTATTTCATATTGCTTGGTTTCGATCAGTAGATGCTGCCTATAACTGTAAGTTAAATAGTCATTTAAAAATAGAAAATACATAGTTTTCTTTTTGCCCCAAAAAGTTTTGTTAGAATTCTGCCAGACGTATCAATTTAATATTAATTAATATTTTCAGGTCTCCAAGTGCCAATATTAGCTCGAGATCCAAAAACACGGGATTTAATCATTAACTTTGATCCCTACGTCTATGAAGTGATTAAAGAGGCTCATTATATGGTGAAGCTGGGATTACAAGTCCCGAGAGAAATGATTCAGCTAATTCATTCTTGCCATAATATTACTAGCACTTATCGTAAAGTCCAGGTCAGTTGATAGTCTAGAGCTCCTCTTTCAGAGATTCATTAGACACAAATGTATACATTTTTGTAATTTTTAATTTGCAACTAGGCTTATACAATCTTTTTTTTTTGTACACAGATGATGTTAACTCAATATGCCTCTCTAAAATCAACAATACCTGATATGTTTATGACACTAATGCAGCCCTCTTTATTTAAAGTAAGTTCTGAAATTTTTTTTCGGTTAAACCCGTTGATTATGACAGTATACTCTAGCTGAAAATTACTTTATGACCAAAAAAAATTTTTTTAAAGAAAAGATTTGAACATTAAACCGTGAGGTCCCTGACACTCGAACTTTGCTTTGTTAATTAAACTGTGATGTCCCTGACACTCGAACTTTGCTTTGTTGATTAAACTGTGATGTCCCTGACACTCGAACTTTGCTTTGTTGATTAAACTGTGATGTCCCTGACACTCGAACTTTGCTTTGTTGATTAAACTGTGATGTCCCTGACACTCGAACTTTGCTTTGTTGATTAAACTGTGATGTCCCTGACACTCGAACTTTGCTTTGTTGATTAAACAGTGAGGTCTCTGACACTGTTGATTGTTTTGATCTCGTTTCTCCTTTTGTTTCATCCACCAACGGAACGCCCCGCTAGGTCTCTCACACATAATTTAGGCAAGTCAATTAAACCTTTAGAAAGAAAATAACATTTGTGCGTTAAAACATTTGTATTTAGGCTTAACATAGAGACTGGCTATTTTTAGAAATACCTGAAAAATAATACAAAATGGTATCTTTCAAACCTGTTTTAAGAAATTAGGTAAAAGAAACCTGTATACAGATTTGTATGCTAATCCATTATGTGTTTCCGTAGATGATAATCAGTGGATCAATGAGTCCGTTTGCGTTAAAATGTGTACTACTAACAACTCCGCCCGTTAATTTGCCCCCAGGCTATAGAATGTTTCATTCTCGACTTACCACCTCCCGAAAGGGGAATTGAAAGCTATTAGTTTTGTGTGGTCTGTCTGTCCGTTCGTCCGTCCGGTTTAGATCTCGTAAACTAGAAAAGATATTGAAAATCCCACATCATGATATTTTAGACCTTTCAAAGTCCTAATGCAACGGTTACTTTTTTTTCTAAAAGCGAAAATTTAATCTTTAAAATCAATTATGCTATCAGTTTTTTCCATAAAATAATACATCATTTTTACAACTATTCACTATTAATAGTAAATAACATGGGAGACTATCTATTAAGCAAGATGACTATTTACCATATTTTAACACATTTATGCAAACGGTTTTAGAATTTTTAGTCAAGAAATTATTATTTTTTTTACAATTGTATTGCTAAGTTTAAGTAAGCTCTTTCATACTAACGACTACGTTTACAAAACAAATGTGTTTTTTTTTTAAACAGAAAAAATCTATTTAGTATTGTGATCTAGTATTAGGATAGGTCATAAGACCAGTGACCTCTGCAAGTTAATCCAATGGTACTTTGTGGTCCCAAATTATATTATCTAGGCAATTATCTAGATATTCAAAATTACTGAGACAGACATGTAATAATACTAAAAGTTCAGTTGCACAGATGCAACAAAAAAAAAAAGAGTTTATTTAGAAACCAAAGAAAAGATCATGGAATGTATAACAGGAAACAAAGGCTCACAAAAGAAAATGAAATAATGAAACAAATCAAAATAGTAGAACAGGTTCAGTTCAAAATAATCAAGAACCAGCATCAGAGAGGCACAATCGTGTCTCATCTCAAAAATCAAAATGATGGTTTACAATAATATAATATATGTCATGACAATTAAATAACATCATCCATGAGACACTAGTCTCCTATCAAAACAAAAGATGTCTTTTACAAAAAAATATATAAGGGAGGATAAGAGACTAAGTAGACTATACTATTTACATAAGCCAAATTATTAATAACAAATAAATAAAGTCTACTTATTTCATTATCGAAACACTCTTCCCATAAAAGTGGCACACTCCTCTTGAGTAATAAAGTTAGAGCACAACAACCCAAGTATTAGTTCAACATAATGGAGACTTAGTTCAAACTACACTGGTCAGCTCAAGGACTCCAGAGAGTGTGGCAATTGTAAACAGTTAACAGGGACTTAAATCAAGTAATAAAGGAGACTTACTCTTATTGAAAAAATAAGTAGCTACCCTTATTGTCTCTCTTGTCACAAGTATGCATTCAAGTGGATGGCTGCCTGGTCGTGCGGTTTGCACGCTGGACTGTCGTTCGGATTTATCGATGGTCCCGGGTTCAAACCCTGCCCGCTCCCATCCCCCGTTGTCCTGCGGGAGGTTTGGACTAGGAAGTAAACTATCTTCAACTCTGAAGGAACATCCGAAACATGTAAAACATTTTACAAAACAAACAAACAAGTGGAACATAATTTAAATCAACAATGAATAAGTAGTTTTCCATATTATCGCGTGAACCGTTGAGTGTTATCATACATACGGAATATTAAGCAATGGAAAATAAAGATTTTTTTTTCCATATAAGAGATTAACCTTTAAAGAAACAATTAGATGGTTTAGATAATCAATATATGACATGAGTTAGTCCAGATTCACATCGAACTTCACCTCCACTTTCACTTATACCTTGCTCTGCTGGCCTTTCGGGCACCACACAAGATCTGTCAACCTTCTTTCTCCATTCTCTGTCATATGCCATTGATAGAATTCCATTCTGATATTCTTTCTGAAAATTTTGAAACCTGCCTTTTTACCTGCCTGGGTGAACAACTTCAGGGGCCGATTTTGAGTTTGTGTTTCCACACAAACTGTCTTTGTAACCTTGTTTTTCTCTTCCAATTGAATGAGCCGCGATCCGCCACACAAAGTTTTTGGCCTCGTCAACTCTATTTTCTGTCATGTTGAATTGATGGAAAAGGCTGCATTAAATGCCCCCCCCCCCCACTTTTGACCCGTGATTTCTAGTATAACTAATCTCTTTAATCAACCCCCCAAAGCAGTTCTATATACAGTCTCTTGACTGTTCTTTGGCTTCTTCTAAGTATGCCATAATATTAGACTGACTTTTCAAATTTAATTAAAAATAAAAAGATCGTAGAATTTGTTGTCTTTGTATCATTATTGGACAGTCTTTATGTAATTACTACTAGTGATAAGATCTATAGCTGCTTCTCTGGATTAAGATTTGTAACGTGTTGGCTCTTTGATTCTTTTCTCAAAAGATTGACAGCCTCATTTTTCCTGCTCTAACAACCATTACTTGGACATCCCTTGAAACAAGCAATTACTTCAAAGAGTTGGACAAGGCTTTTGAAGAGTTTAGTCTTTTGATCAAAACAGTAAGTACACCTAGTGCATTGCGTACATCCTTGTCATCGCTTGTAGACATCAATTTCCTTTCCAGTAAGACATTTTTATTGCGTTATCAATTTCATTTCCAGCAAGACATTGTCGTCGCGTTGACATCAATTATCATTTCCAGCAAGACTATAAATAGCCTTAAAAAGTTCTAGACCAAATTGGAGAGAGGAGAAAAAAAGTATTTGTGTGTCCATTAAGCACCTACAGCGAGTTGAAATTCAAAGTTAATAAATAGACAAAAATACGAGAATAAGAAAAGTCTGCGAATGAAAAAAGTGTGACAAAAAAAAAGTCTTAGAAAAGTCTGAGAAAAAGAAAAGTCTGAGAAAAAGAAAAGTCTGAGAAAAAGCAAAGTTTGAGAATGTGAAAAGTCTGAAAAATGCTGAGAAGGACAAAAGTCTGAGAAGAAGAAAAGTCTGAGAAGAAGAAAAGTCTGAGAAGAAGAAAAGTCTGAGAATGAGAAAAGTCTGAGAATGAGATAAGTCTAAAA